AATAACTATCGTCCGATTTCCTAGTTGTACTGCGTAGAAAAGGTTTTTGAACGTATTATATTTTATTATCTGTATAATTTTCTTCAAGATAATAACTTCCTTTCTTTCGTAGATCTCTTGAAGTGATATATTTAACTTTCATCCGTCCGATTTTGAAATACGTCGATGTTGTCTATCTTAACTGCACACAATATGAGAAACTTGACCTTGACAAGATTCAAAATGAAGAGTCTCGTATCGTGTGCGGTGCTATAAAACTTGTATCATTAGTTCAACTCCTAAGTGAAGTTCCTTGGGAATCCTTAGAATCTCGAAGAAATAATCATATGCTTATCTTACTTATATTTTTGCTTTATATTATAACTAAATGTTAGAAACAATTTTGACTTTAACTTATTAAAAACAATGTAAAATCAGGTATAAAAATTATCTTAAGCAAGATACGTTTACTGTAATACCGTATTTTATGCATTGAAAATCTATAATGAGAAGGCCTTTATAGCTCAGCTTTCGGACACAATCCTTTTCAACAATTCATGTTTGTATTGTGTACATTATTGTCTGTATATATACTGTGAATTTGTTCGAAGTAAACTATGTTTAAACTAAAAGTGTAAATATTCCAAGGGTCAAAACAGTAACATACGGTAAGAATTAATATTTTAGGTTTGAAGGCGCCCAGATATGGAACAGTCTCCCTAATGACACCCGCAAGGTTGAAAACTACAAAGAGTTTGGGAGACTGGTCCAGGTCTGGAGCGACCCAAGTTGTTAATGTGCTTTGTGTCTGTAAATTTGCTATGTGTTTGTTAATCTTCTTAGTTTTAATTTATGTTAAATGCTTAGACTGCATGTTTGTTTGTTTGCTTTGTTTTTGTGCATCCATTTTTAGTTTGCTATGATGCTTTGATTATATGCTGTGTGTTATTTTTCCTTTAAACCCTGTATTTTTATGCTAGTTGTATGTTTGCTGTCTGATTTGTATGTTTTGTTCTAATTAAAACTCCTTATTTTCCCTTCCATTAGGTTGTGCATGTAACTTAATTTTAGTTAACTTACTTTGTTAAACTGTATGTGCTTCATCGTTTGTTTTTTTCATGCTGTTTTAATTCTATCATGAATTTGTATGTACTTTCTTTTAAGTAAGTCATTTTTTTTTACATTTTTTTGGGTAAATCTTTAATTATGTATAAATTCTAGATGTTAACTATTACTATTTTAATTTAATTATATTTTTATGATAATCATTTTTATTTATTTCACATTGCTACATGTATCATACTTGAATTATCAGCTCATTCTATACTACAGTCATTTATTACTTTTTAAAATGTTAGTACCTTTAATACAATATGTACTGTGCATGTCATCATACTTTGCTTTAATTTGTCATCTTATTGTATAGTTCTTCTTAATCTTGCTACTTTTATTTCATGCCTAAAGTTGCTACTAGTTTTAAATGTTTTTACTTTCAGATCTGTTATATGTTAGTAAATATGTTTTATGTCTCTGCTATTGTCGGTAAATATTTATTTTCTTTATTTATTTTATTTTAGCAACAACATAGATCACAGTTACATAATAAGATATATATATATAAATAAATATATATAAAATAACAAATTATCCAAATTAAAATATCATTTCATATTAATAATAAATAAAACAAATTTAGTTAATGACTGAGATCAGATGAGGCATTGGATAAATGTATTTAAAAAAAGAAGCAAATGAATAAATTAATAAAATCACATTTCAGGTTAAGACTACAATAGTCAGAATTATAATTATCACAGAATATTGTTTAAAGTTACTGATAAACATGATATAAAAGAAGTAAAAGAATTTTAATAAAATTTCAATACAAAGGTTTTGTTAAAAAGTGATCTATGGTTACAAGGATAGCCCATTAAGCTGGTGTGCTTATTTCCAATGGGGTCCTGTTAACCAAATAGATGGAAACAAGATAAAACCAGAGAGACATTCATTCCTCAAATAAAAATAGACAATGAGATAACTTTCAAATTATTCAATCACAGTAGTTTTGCATTATCACAGAAAGAAAGGCACAGGAAAAAATAAGATAACTAAAAAACAATAAAGTTTGGCGAACCTATGTCGCCACTTAATTAGTAATATAAAAAGTCACTTTGATGTTGCGCAGCCCATATTGAAGCAATATGGCTTTTAACAGAATTTTTATATAAAGTTGGATTTGATATACATTTTACATCATCTGGCAAACTATTCCAATCTTTTATACCATTATAGAAAAAGGTGCTATTACATGTCTTATTACAAAGAGGAATTGAAAAATTAAACTTATTTGATCTAGTGTAGTAGTTGTGTATATCAGACATCCGAACAAAATTTGTTTTCATATAAGTTGGACACTTATTATAAAAAATCTTATGCATATGATTAAGTCTCAGTTGTTTAACTCTGTTTTCAATATTTAACATGTTAACATCTGTAAAATCAGAAGGAGTTAAACTAGTTCTTGGATGGTAATCTTTTATAAACCTTAAATAGCTTATTAGCTTATGTTTCTTGTGATATGTAAACCGACTTAAAATAAAGTTGCTTGTATCTTGTATCCATCTATACACACAGTACCGCTTAATATTTTATCCTTCCGAGTTTCATAACTTTTTGCTTTATTTACTTGATTTTATATTATGTTAATCATGTTCATGTTTTTGGCTGCCGCGCCGAAGCGCGGCGCTCTTATGGAATGAGATCAGATTTTGTGAAAGGGCGACAGCAACTTCTCGAGTTTTTTAGTCGGTCATAATAAAAGCCGAAAATTCCGATCGGTATGAGGGTGCTTGATTATTAAATAAGAATGAAATGTCGCGATATGTTACAATGAATTTTCGCAATGCAAACATTTACAAATGAAATAACCTTTTCCGTCAATAAATCGCGCTCTTCGGGGTTTTTTATTTATCATTTTGTAGTACACAGTCGGTTATCATGTCATGGTATGTTATTGTTGTACATGTATCCTAGAATGATCAGTTGATGACCTAAATATTCCAAAAACCTATTTATAGATATATCTTTTTATCACTCCTATCGGTAAATGCCGGTCTCTCCCGGTCTATTTTGACCAGGATTTACTAGTGACCGGCGAATAGTACCACACGTTTATTGTCCGGTCTCTCCCGATTTTGGAGTAGATGTTTGATATCGTTACAATTGGAAAAAAACAACAATAGCATGTACCATTTTATCTATATGAGATAAAAACAATAAATATGTACACGGATTTATATGTAATATAAATCCGTGATATGTACAATAATTGAGAAAAAGGTACATTTTTTATGGTATTAAAATGACATTATCAACTTTGAAACATTTTATTTAATTATTCAATTTGTTATCCGTGTTTAGTAAAGATGCCGAGGAATTATTCAAAGTTACAAATTAGATTTTATGAATTATTCAATTGATCGATAATTTAAAAAATGATAAAGAAAAATACAATGTACATGTACATGGTTTAAGAATAAACAATATTATATATTGAAAGATAAACCATAATTTACTGACTTGTTCCAGTTAAGCTTTTATTTATAATCGTCGGTCAATATGACAATTGAATTCTTAAAATTTATTTTACAATTTTAATAAAAAAGAGTAGTAAAAACTCAGTATTAAAATAGCACATAAAACACAAAAAAGAATAAAAGAAAACAATATTCATAAAATTTGTATTTTTTTAAATTAAAATTAATAGATATTACAATTATTGTATAATAAACAATTATGCTCAACATGATCAACATGGTAATATAACCAGTGTCATATTTTTACTAACTTAAAGTGTGAACAGATACCTTAAGGGGGTCTTCGCTAATAGCGATAACATGTACATAATAAGGGACAAATGTGTGGTACGTGTTGATCATGCGTTACACATATGGATTATAAATGATTGCATACATGTATATCCGTTGCTATTAATAACCACGATCATAAAGAAATAACAAGTAATATTCTAATCTCTAGCATGCCAATCAAAGTTCATAATGAACAATGTCTTTCGTCCGCTCATTCATAAGTGGTATACATTTCTGGTAGTTTATAAGAATATCTTGTCATCATATGTGTACTAGTTCATCTTCACTTGCTGCATTTCTTGCTTGGACGCACTTTGATGCTTTGCATCAATGCTTTTCTTGTAAACGAAATAAAATGAGTCGTATAAAATCGTTATCTTCTGTCATTCACGTTTGCATATCACAACAACAGAACGCAAAAATAATATAAAAATCTGGACTTTGTACAAAGTGATCACTCGAAAGCATTAATCACAACAAAATTACAAGAGAATTGCAGACTCGGTTTGATTGATTCTGTACATGAAGGATACTGAATACGTGCAACATTCCTCACGCCCCCGATCACCGGCTTGAGCGGTACTCAATTCTCAACACTTAACAGTGCTGGTATCAAGGATCCCGGAGAACCAGAAAAAATATAACAACACTGAAGTGAAGTTAGGGGAAATATAAGCCACATATTTGTAGATAACAGATGCTACTGGATTATTCTTTGTACGTATATAATCCACTAATATTGGTCAGCGTTCAGAGGTATAACATTTGAAATATGGGGAAAATGAGCTTTCTTTGTCCTGATAAAATAGTTATATATTCATTTGTAAAGCATATAAAGATTTATTGAAAATCTTGAATATTTTTGTACAGTACTGCTTTTTTGGAAATTGACAATTTAAAACGAGTGATGCAAAATATCTAACGAAAGGATGATATATTTTAATTTCAATAAGTCTTTAAGAGACAATGAAACTGTAAATAATGATTATGCTTAAACATTGCCTTGTGATCTAAAAACATTAGATTTGGTATAAAATACATGTATACAATCATCTTGAAATAGCAGACGGTTTTATCTTTTCCGGGTTTTCCGTGGTTTCCGCGAGATTTTCCGCGGAATACACCTGCCCCTACTTTACGCCACTTTACGTATTTTCGACACCTTCAAAAAAACAAACAAAAAAAAACAGGATGTAAACAAGGAAATATGAAAAACAAAACAAGATTACAGTGTCTATTATCAGATGTCAGTTAAATTCTTTAAAACAATATATTATACTAGCAAATCATATGCGAATTGATGAAATTCTTGTTTAGATAACTGCGAATAATAAACGAGGATTAATAAATTGCACTTGTGTTCGGATATGGCAAGGTAATGTTTTAAGTGAGGGTACTATTTTTAAAAGTCTAATTTTTCTTACTCATAGCCAGATATTTGTTAACTGCTTACATGTAGGTAATGTAGTCAAAATATATTGACGTGCCAAAGCTTGATTCTGAGATATTTTCGTTCTGGGGCAGAATCTCGCTTTAACGAGCACAGCCTCTGCGCGATAACCAGTCAGTTGGAAAACGCGCAACGTGACCCCACCGATCATATCTGGAGTAGAAATACTACCTCTCGGCGGACTGAAACATGGAGAATTGGTCTCCAGGAGTCTGGATACTCACCTCAATGACCGTCTCCAAATGGTCGTTTGACCGGCAGCTCACAGCAGTGAACTCCACACACATGTTCTGGAATTTCTCCAGCCACCACTAACTGATCGCAAGAGGTATACATCCAACTCACCTAGTGAATTGATCCACCATCACAAGTACAATCCCATGTACCTGTTCCATGGGGGATTCTGCCTGGTAATCAATCATCAAATGGCACTTCTCCTGCCAGTCGACTTACCGGCCTTATACTATGAAACAATCAGTTTCACATCATGGCCCAAACCATACCAGGTATACATACTCCTCTTTAATTTGTTCCTTAATACATGTGACAACCTGATGCCCTGAAGATGGCAGGCTATGATCATGAGAAATAGCCTCCTTTGGCTCTTCAGCAATACTTACAGAACACCCTAGTGCTCAGGGTCATCAGATCGAGGCACTTACTTGCCTCAACCTTACAAATGGTGCCTAGCCCAGTGATGACTATATCCTTTTACATATCACAACTGGCAAGCTATCAAATTTACCCCTTGGTGACTGTTACACTCTTTGGTAAATTCTCTCCATCAGAGACTTTTGTTGCAAGGTCTGGCTTGCCATTCCTATCATTGGTGTCAGATGGCGTTCAAACTTCAGACCCGTAGACAGTTGTGCTTCACCTAGTCCCCCCCAGAATATGATTTAATGTCAATTTCTGGTCTGTATTCCTTGACTAGATGCACAGTATCAACTACCTCCTCAAGAAGGACCCCTAATTATCCTGGGCTCTGTTTATAATATTAATATATACACCTACCACAAGGCAATTCATCCAGATGTGTTCCCACATGTGGTACTCGATACAATGACCCACGTCCGGACTTGTGGCCACTGCACCCCTTTTCCCATGCTCACAACCTGGACAGTGTTGCAACACATTAACATATCGAGACAGCTACTTCAACCACCTCCCCAATTGCCCTTGTGGCTCCTGGAACCCCATAAGCCACCTCAATATAGAATGGTCATTCCTTACCACAAACAGTCTATTTCCGAGACCCTAGATAAGGACAGTTTCTTCTAAAATGCCTATCCTTCCCTATTTGAAACACACATAAGGCCCTTTCTTATGATTTCCTAAACCAATAACCTTATCAAACTTTTGTTCCAACTGTTGCATCGCCCTCATTACAGTAAGGTTATCCAGGGTGGAAGATGAGCTAACTGATGTAGCTTCGACCGCAAAAACACCGCGAATTTCATCATCGCGCCGCCTAGTATCCTTTCTTGCCTTACCATGCATGTTGGTACTTTATAACAATTTGAATTGCCCATTGAACACTAGACGGGGACTGCATACAAACATGATGCCCTGCATCTTTGTAAAGCAGCCCTTGGCAGAAACGACTAATAACTTGCTCATCAATAAATGAAACTGGCAAGCCCTTGAATGCTTTAACCGCCAGAATCAACAGTCGTTCTCCAAAATCTTCCAAAGACTCATCAGGGTTTTGACAAGCCTGCTGGAATTGTGCTTGAAACGCAGCAGGTAAATCATGTTGCCCATACCGCGCTTCCAGCATTAAGCATAGACTCCTATATGAGTCTACCTCTTCTGTGTCATTCAAAATGACAAAGTACTCCATGGCCTTTCCTGTCAAACACCAGCAAAGACCATCAAGCTTTTCTCCCTCTGACCAATTAGAGGCCTCGGCAAACCTGTTAAACTTCAAAATGAAAGCTTTCCAGGAGCCTATCCCATCAAACGTCAGATGCCTTGGTAATGATTTCAACAAATTCATCAACAAGCTGGGCTGACACCTTTCATGTTCAGCCCCATACCCCCTTTGGTATGATGGTTAACCAATGCCCGCCTCACCATGGCAATCCACATGTTGGGTATTCTGTTCGGTTCCTCTAGCCGGAGCCTAAGATTTTGTTCCCTCTCAGGAGAGAAATCATTGTCAACCTTTCTATGGGGTGGCCTCATACTAAGGTATAGATCCCCATAGGATGCACCCTCGCCTGATGTAGTTTCCTGACCTCGACTATCCTTTTGTGGACCTTGTGTCATAACTCATAAGTTGGGAAGCTACATCCACTCTTCTCTTTACTGGCTTCTGTCAACCCCACTTCCTCTTCAAAAGACCAACACTTATTCGACTTAAAATCAATAAGTGCTAGCTCATCCGAAGAAAAAGTTTTCCGACAAATGACTGACAAAATCTCAGGCGCGATATTGCCACTATTTTCCCTCACCGATACCAGGGCTATAGCTAACTTTTTACTGATTCCCGGAATCAGCATCAGCTTGTCAATATCACAAAAATTTACTGCTACAGGGCTATGGAGCCCTGCAACAGGCTCATCCTTTATTGATGAAGCGTCTGCCACGCTTGTCAAGTCATCTTGCATTGACATGGTTCAATTACTTGTGTACCAATTACAAGAAAACAACAACAAAACTTATTTATCAAAAAATAAACAAATTTCTCTATTAAATTAATGTTAAATTTAATAAAATACGATGGCATACCAAAAGCACAAAAATGACATGGTGATTTCACACTGAACACCGGTTGGCTATTTCCTTTGGTGTCTTCCCGGAAAAAATCCGCCAAATTCAAATAATAATCTCAATTATCCTATAAATATACGTAACAGTGCCTTACAAGATAAATGCAATTGTCTTTAGACCAATTACACCTGTTAACAGACACAAGGTTCAATTATTTTAAGTTTACAAAAATGCCTCACCTAAAATTAGCTGTTTTGCAGGTGGCAAAATTACCGCTGCCACCATTGTAGAACCTACCATATGATAAGTAAATGACTTACCTATCTAGATGTCTGTGTACCAGGTCTGGATGCACTTATATGCCTGTCTAATGAACAGATTAGTTTCACCTAGTCGATGTTGCCTGCAGCACCAATGGCTGCTTCTAGAGGAATCACCCAGAATCCCAATCCCTTTTGCCTTCAGGGGCTACAGCCAATCAAGGTTATGAAACATATACTCACGTACTCAACCTATCTCGTACCAAGGTCCATGAGCACCACAGTACTACACTGTAACACATTGAATTATGGTGCTATTTTATGTATGGGCAATATCCAGTGTTGTATCTAGAATTTCAAAATTATGGGGGATTTCCCCCCACTCAGCTGAAAAATGTTTGGGATTTAAAAAAAATGTTGGAGACTTGCATTTACCTAACAATATGACGTATGAATTCATTTATTTTACATTTAGGCATTTTTGACTGTTGTCTGTTCAACAACGGATACTGTATAGAAAAAATAAAATATTGACGAATACTAGTTAAGTGCACAGATCAAATACACACACCAAACTCCACACACCGGTTAAGCTACAACCAGTAACCACTGCCTTCAAGCAAATTACATGATGATTGTCTTATCTTATGATTGTGTCAATATGGTAGAGACGCCAAAGAAAACATTGAAATATCAAAATTGAAACAATTTATGTCGTCAAAAATGTTGACGAAAATGTTGTAATGACAGAGATCTAATCCTGTAAGGGGACATATCAGATCACACGCGAGTGAAAACAAACATATTGCAGAAGCAATGAAGATTTACTGAATTAAGTTGGAAAGATCATCAGATGCGCAACTTGGCGCACACTGACTCCATTAAAATGCACCATCTGCAAAAAATATGTGCAAATTGCGTAATCCCACAGCCTAGATATCTCTCCTCTAGAAGCAAGATTCAGACCTAGAACAAAAATATCTCAGAATCTATAGTTCTGACTTCCATAACTTTATAAGCCACTTTTAAACATTTTTTTTTTCATCTGATGCAGCATTCATGTCATGTACACGGGTATGCTGAAAATCTTAAGCTACTCAGAATCTTGCTTTGACTTATTAGCTTATTAATGATATGGATATGTCATGAGAAAATACAGGTAAAGTTGGAATTTGGTCATGGTTCGATTATTTCTGGCAGAGTTATGCCCCTTTTACTTTGAAAACAATATGAAATTTTCAGTTTCCTTTCATTATCTCCCCAACAGTACAACACATTCAACTCAAACTTGACATATGGATGCGTCAAAGGAATGCGCAGGTCAAGTTCAAATTTGGTCATGGTTCAATGATTTTTGGCAGAGTTATGCCCCTTTCACTTTGTAAATAATATGAAATTTTCAGTTTCCGTTTATTATCTCCCCAACAGTACAACACATTCAACTTAAATTTGACATATGGATATGTTTTTGGAATGCCCAGGCCAAGTTCAAATTTGGTCATGGTTCAATGATTTTTGGCAGAGTAATGCCCCTTTCACTTTGAAAATAATATGAAATTTACAGTTTCTGTTCATTATCTACCCAACAGTGTTAAATATTCAACTCAAATTTGACATATGGATATGTCAAAGAAATGGGCAGGTCAAGTTGGAATTTGGTCAAGGTTTGATGATTTTTGGCAGAGTTAATTCCCTTTTACTTTGAAAATAATATAGATACATCTTAGGAATAAGCAGTTTAAGTTTGAATTTGGTCGTGGTTCAATGATTTTGGACAAACTTATCTTTCCTGAATGTTGGAAAAATTTTGAACTTTCAGTTTCAGCACTCATACGTACTTTTAGCCATTATTTTGGCTACAAATATGCAATAATTATGCTATTTTTAAAAGGTTAAGACTGAATAATTTCAGTGCCCTGAACATTTTATGAAAATGGTTTGTGTAAACAAATTTGAAAAGTTTTAAGGGCTTCGAACTTAAAATGAAAAAAATAATTTGTGCAAACAAATTTGGAACTAAATATTATAACATCTGAAATTTTGGCTGCATGCGGGGGCATCCGTGGCATGATGACACATTTCTAGTTTGTTTTTTGATGTACAGACTTGAAATTTGGACCAGGAATGTAATTTCTGATGCGAATTGAATTAAGATATCAACTGACTACATTTGATTTTTTTATTATGTCTCCTAAAAATTTTTGGGAAACATATTGTTTAAGCCTTTACCGTCTGTCTGTCTGTCCACTCTAACTGGACAGTAATAATGTTGCTAAAGGTCTTTCTCTTTGATGTCATTCATTTTGGAATGCTTTTATGTGGCTATTCTCTTTTGTGTGGCTAAAAAGAACAATAGAGTAGTCACATTATTACTGTCCCGTTAGTCTGTCCAGTTGTCCTTCTGTCGGCATTAAGCTTGTCAGCCCTTCACAGGTTCTGCTTCGTTGCACAAAATGGACGCCAGAGCTAAAAATAGAATAATCTTGTCGGCCCTTCACAGGTCAAACTACTGGTAGGATTTCAACCAAACTTTACAGGATTGATCAGTACCATCCCTAGTTGTGCACATATCCGGCACGTTCCACTTCGCTGCACAAAATGGCCCCCAGAGCTAAAAGAATATTTTTGTCTGGCCTTCACAGGTCAAACTACTGGTGGGATTTCAATCAAACTTCACAGGAGTGATCAGTACCATCCCTTGTTGTGCACATCACTGGCACGTTCTGCTTCGCTGCACAAAATGGCCACCAGAGCTACATTGTATAAATAGAAAAATCTTGTCCGACCTTCATAGGTCAAACTACTGTTGGGATTTCAACCAAACTTTACAGGAGTGATCAGTAACATCCTTAGTTGTGCACATCACTGGTATGTTCCACTCCGCTGCCGGCTTAACCTTTATGGTCGCCAGAGCTAAAAAAAGTAAAATCTTGTTTGGCCTTCACAGGTCAAACTACTTGTGGGATTTCAACCAAACTTTACAGGAGTGATCAGTACCATCCTTAGTTGTGCACATCACCAGCACGTTTCACTATGCTGCACAAAATGGCCGTCAGAGCTATAAGAAGAAAAATCTTGTCTGTCTTTCACAGGTCAAGCGCCAGTTGGGATTTCAATGAAACATCACATGAGTGACCATACATAGTTTTGGGAGACATAATTATGTTTTTGTCACACATATGTTTTTGTGACAAAAACCCCTCTAGTTTGATATTGTTTGACCTAGTTTCTAGTTTTTAGCTCACCTGTCACATAGTGACAGGGTGAGCTTTTGTGATTGCATTTTCGTCCGGCGTCCGTCCGTCCGTCGACCGTCCGTAAACTTTTACTTTAAATGACATCTCCTCATAAACCACTAAGCCAATTTCATCCAAACTTCACAGAAATGTTCCTTTGGTGGTCACCTTTAAAAATTGCCATGGCAACCAAAAGAAAAAACTTTAAATATCTTCTTTAAAAAAAACCTAAGAGCTAGAGCTTAGATATTTGGCATGAAACATCTTCTAGTGAGTGTCTACCAAGTTTGTTTAAATAAAAGCCCTGGGGTCAAAATTGGCCCCGCCCCAGGGGGTCATTGATTTTCCCTATATGCACATAGTAAAAACTTAAAAAATCTTCTTTTAAAGAACTCAAAGAGCTAGAGCTAAGATATTAAGCATGAAACATGTTCTAATGGATGTCTACCAAGTTTGTTCAAATAAAAGCCCTGGGGTCAAAATTGGCCCCGCCCCAGGGGTCATTGATTTTCCCTATATGTATATAGCAAAAACTTAAAAAATCTTCTTTGAAAAAACCCAAATAGCTACAGTTTAGATATTAAGCATGAAACATCTTCTAGTGAGTGTCTACAAAGTTTGTTCAAATAAAAGCCCTGGGGTCAAAATTGGCCCCTCCCCGGGGGTCATTGATTTTCCTTATATGTGTATAGCAAAAACTTAAAACTCTTCTGTGAAAAAACCGAAATAGCTAGAGTTAACATATTAAGCATGAAACAACTTCTAGTTAGTGTCTACAAAGTTTGTTCAAATAAAAGCCCTGGGGTCAAAACTGGCATCGCCCTAGTGGTGTCATTGTTTTTAACTATATGTGTATAGTAAAAACTTTAAAAAATCTTCTTTGAAAAAACCCAATGAGCTCAGAGCTTAGATGTTTAGCATGAAACATCTTCTTATGAGTGTCTACCAAGTTTGTTCAAATAAAAGCCCTTGGACTAAAATTGGCCCTGCCAGGGGGGGGGGGGGGGGAGGCCTATATACAGGTGAGCGACCTCTGTGTGATGTACCTATTTGAAATTTGGACAAGGGGTTTATTTTCTGATCCTGAATTGAATTTTAATATGAACTGGGCTACTTTTGGTATTTTTGATATCGCTTGACTGACTTTTTGTGTCTTTTATGTACAGACTAGAAATTTGGACCAGGGGTGTAATTTGTGTAATTTTTTATGTAAACTGAATTTGATATCAGCTGACCTACTTCAGATATTATTGACACCATTTGACCTACTTTCTTGTTTTTTTGACATTCAGATTCTAAATTTGGGGGTGTAAATTCTGATGCCGACTTGAATTTTGGTATCATCTGACCTACTTTTGATATTTTTATATCGTTTGACCTACTTCCTTGATTTTTAACCAGGTTTTCCGAAGGAAAAAACTGGTTATTAGATTGAGGTATGTCGGCGGGCGGGCGGGCGGATGGGCGGACGGGCGGGCGGGCGTAAACAATTTCTTCTGTGCGCAACTCCTCCTACATTTCTCAACTGATTTTGACCAAACTTTCACAGAAGCTTTGTCATCAAGTGCCCTGGCGCATATTGTCGGGGTTTTGCGATTAGATAATATTTGACCTAATTATGGCCCTTTGTTTTTTTTCCTTATATAAAATATATAGTGAACAATTTCTTCTGTGCGCAACTCCTCCTACATTTCTCAATGGATTTTGACCAAACTTTCTCAGAAGCTTTGTCATCAAGTGCCCTGACACATATTGCCAGGGTTTTGCAATTGGTATATATTTGACCTAATTATGGCCCTTTGTTTTTTTTCCTTATATAGAATATATAGTGAACAATTTCTTCTGTGCGCAACTCCTCCTACATTTCTCAACGGATTTTGACCAAACTTTCTTAGAAGCTTTGTTATCAAGTGCCTGGCACATATTGTCGGGGTTTTGTGATTGGATAATATTTGACTGAATTATTTCCGAAGGAAAAAACTGGTTATTAGATTGAGGTATGTCGGCGGGCGGGCGGGCGGGCGGGCGTAAACAATTTCTTCTGTGCGCAACTCCTCCTACATTTCTCAACTGATTTTGACCAAACTTTCACAGAAGCTTTGTCATCAAGTGCCCTGGCGCATATTGTCGGGGTTTTGCGATTAGATAATATTTGACCTAATTATGGCCCTTTGTTTTTTTTCCTTATATAGAATATATAGTGAACAATTTCTTCTGTGCGCAACTCCTCCTACATTTCTCAATGGATTTTGACCAAACTTTCTCAGAAGCTTTGTCATCAAGTGCCCTGACACATATTGCCAGGGTTTTGCAATTGGTATATATTTGACCTAATTATGGCCCTTTGTTTTTTTTCCTTATATAGAATATATAGTGAACAATTTCTTCTGTTCGCAACTCCTCCTACATTTCTCAAAGGATTTTGACCAAACTTTCTTAGAAGCTTTGTTATCAAGTGCCTGGCACATATTGTAGGGGTTTTGTGATTGGATAATATTTGACTGAATTATGGCCCTTTGTATATTTTTTCCTTATACAGAATATATAGAGAACAATTTCTTCTGTGCTCAACTCCTCCTACATTTCTCAACGGATTTTGACCAAACTTTCTTAGAAGCTTTGTTATCAAGTGCCTGGCACATATTGTCGGGGTTTTGTGATTGGATAATATTTGACAGAATTATGGCCCTTTATATATTTTTTCCTTATACAGAATATATAGTGAACAATTTCTACAGTGCGCAACTTCTCCTACATTTCTCAATGGATTTTGACCAAACTTTCACAGAAGCTTTGTCATCAAGTGCCCTGGCACTCACTAAATTCCCATGTTTCTTCCAAGACATCATTCAAGTATTTTTTTAAAATTGTGAACATACTTTTCTTGATATCGCACAAAACACCACACGCCAATATTGTTGACAAAAGAAAATGACAAGAGACGCAAAAATGCAAAAATTAAGCAAAAATAAAGTACTGTTTACCTTTCTAAAACATTTGGGAAAAAAAGGCGAATAGACAACATAAAATTTCTCAATCATTTTTGTTTGAGGAATATTAAAAAAGCCATAATTCCTCCTAAAAGTTCAATTAAAAACAAATGCCCCTTCATGACAAAGCTTCTGTGAAATATTTTGCTGAAAACCTGGTTGCATCGCATTGCGATGTTCCTTGTTTTATGTATAGACTTGAAATTTTGATCATGGGTGTAATTTCTGATGCCATATTTAATTTTGATAACAGCTGACCTACTTTTGATTTTATTGATATCAGTTGGCCTACTTGCTTGCTTTTTGAAATACAGACGTGGAATTTGGCTCAAGGGTGCAAGTTCTGATGTTAAATCAAAGTTTAATAAAATCTGATCTACTTTTGATATTTTTGATATCATTTTACCTACTTCCTTGTTTTTTGACATTCATACTTGAAAAAAATCAGTGTTGTAAAAGTATATAACTAGAGGGGCAGGTTAAAGTTGAGCTGGACTTGCCTATCGGCAAGTTCATTTGAAAAATAATTTCTAACACTGAAAAACAGTTGTTTCTGGTGAGTGACTCATTAAGTTCAGCCAGGGTCTTTCATATAGAATTTGAAAGACTCTGGCTCAGCTTTTAATCTGTATTGACAAAGGTGAATGATAGAGTGCTGAAATCTTTTGCAGCTGAGTTTCAAGTACACAGAACAGATTATACAGATATGAAACATGTAATATACTGTCCAATAGAAAGGCGATGAGTCGTCTGTCTGGAGATGATCTGGCAAGGCCTGCCAAAGACCTGCCATTAAAGGTATGTATCTATCTTTTACCACAATTAGCTGTCACCATTATATACATCTTTTGTATGTCCTTGTATCTGATGGGTTGTCTTAAATGGTTGAGGCTAATCGAACTTCCTCGGCTATTATCTATAATAACCACGGAAACAATACGGATTGAATGTACATGTAGTTCTACCACATGGTTTCAGATTTAAACAGAAACAGAGAGTATAATCTTCAATAATTTGAAACGAATGTATTTATTTTACTTCCAAGGACAATTATGATTGAAAATATGTCCTTTTACAAAGATTGACAGAAAGGGCTAAAAGTTGCGGGTTGAGGCATTAGAATTGAGGCACTGCTTATCCCTGAGTAAAAGAGGCATCTAAATGGGTTCAAATTTCTGAGGTTGTTTTGTACTGTTAGAACCAGCGCGAAAGTGGTCCTAAGGGCGAAAACACAATACCTTGACACAAAAACATGATGCGATAAAGCAAAAACACGATAAGAGATCGCAAAAATATTAATATCATGTTTTCGCTTTTTTGCCCTCAATCTCCCAACGTGTTTTCGCATTTTCACCTTCGCAGTCAGTAGGACGAAAACAAGAAAATGCGATATCAATGGCTCGAAAACGCGATATTTTTGGCATTGTGTTCTCGTGATCTCGTATCGTGTTTTCGCGATTTGGCCCTACTGACTAGAAATAGAGTAAGTACAAGCTTCCCTTAAAATATAAGCTGACAAGTGACATGAGATAATTCTTATAATAATAAATTTTGCAGTTATATGTATGTGCAGATAACATATTCATTATATGAATAATTATCATAAGGTTAACATTAGGTCAGTCTGGTGTAGCTTACTATCCGTGTGAAGTTGTGTTATAATGCATTTTGGTGGTAGCAGATGTGGTTAATTTGTCCAAAATCACTTATAATTCAGTCTTCTGTATAGGTTATTTTCATTGCATGCAATGGCAGATCCTAATCCTTAAACCCAAAGGAAATGCTTCTTTTATGAATTAATAGGCTACCTCTCAGTTTGTGGCCAGTTGAGTTTTAAGAGATCACAATCTATTCATCATCCGTGGTCCTCGTCTCCGTCCGAAACGTTTTAAAAATCTTCTTTGAAATGACAAGGCCAAGAGCCTTCAGATATTGTACATCATCTAGAGGACCTTTAAATGTTTTCTTCAAAAGTAATGATAACCTCTGGTTCAAAATGGCCCTGCCCTGGGGGCTTATCTGTTTATAGGAATGATACTGGAAAAACTTCAAAAATCTTCCTCTGAAACCACAAGGCCTAGAGTCTTATGCTTTGGTATTTAACATTACTTTGTACACTTCTACCAAGTTTGTTCAAATCATGACCCCCGGTGTCATATTTGCCCCAACCCGGGGGCATATGGTTTAACATAGACTTATATAGGAAAATCTTTAAAACATCTTCTCTGAAATTGCAAGGCCTAGAGCTTTGTGCTTTGGTATTTAACATCACCTAGACTAGTAGACTTCTACCAAACATATGTGGGAGACATATTGTTTTTGTACGGAAAGTCTGTCTGTGCTTCTTCTCCTTAACCGCTGGTTCGATTTTATTTTATTAAAATATCGTGTTTTCGTCTTCGCGGTCAGTAGGGCGAAAACATGATACGAGATTGCGAAAACACGATGTGAAAAATATCGTGTTTTCACGCTATTAATATTGTGTTTTTGCCCCACTGATCGCAGGGCGAAAACACGATGGGAGATGAGGGCGAAAAACACAATATTTTTTCACATCGTGTATCGTGTTTTAGCGACAATTCATCGTGTTTTCTCAATTTCAACCTTAGGGCGACAGCGCAAAACCAGGATGGCCCTAACAGAATTCTGTAGTTTTGACCCCTGATGTTGCTTTAAGTTTGTAACAGCTGAAGTTAGCCAAAATCATCTTTACTGTTTTGGCACTATATAATGTTAACTGTGTTGGTGCTCTGTAAAGCCAAACAAAACAAACATCATTGGTATCGAAACTGGGACACAGAATTCAAACAGAACAATCAATTTTAAAACCTTACCAAAGCAATTTATTTCATTTTAAATTTTGGTGCTTTACCAAATAATATTTTTGCCATTTAGTGTAAACCCTAGCTAATAAATCAATTGTGTACTCAAAATGATAACTTTTAGGAAAACATCAGAAGAAGTGTTTCCTTACATGAATTTTTAGTCTATAAACAGTAAATAATTATAAAAGAATATTGACATATTAATTGAATTTTGATTTCGCAGCATTTAATTTAAACCTTTTTACCGTTACCATAAAATTATACACATTTTTGAGTTGATTTTTTTAGGTTATCAGGAATTTAGGTCACATGTTACATAGGGCCCAGTATAACAGTGGTAACTGGGAAACAATTGCTGAAGACCTTGGTTATGAATATGAAGACATAAAAAATTTCAAAACCTTGGCTGATGTTCGACAGGAATCTCCACCAGGTGAACTTATGCTCAGAGACTGGATCCAGCGTCTGTATGGATGTACACTGTTCGTTTTACACAGTGCTTTAATGAAAGCAGAACGACTTGACTGTGTAGAATATCTCGAGACTGAAATATATAGTAAGTGTTTAGCCCTTGCCACACAAAATATCTTAGACTTGTCCATGTCTTAATTTGGACAAAACCATTCATCAGTTGAGGGAAAATTTCAAAAGAAGTACTGATTGAATAGTGAACGGTACAGGCAATGACTAGAGGGCACAGATATGCCGACTGATCTTAGTCTGCCCTGGTAAAATGATGTTATATATTTATATTGAGGCATATTATAGAAGTCAAAATAGAAGTATATCATCTTCAATGGGTCATATAAATTAGGTAAATTTGGGGAGGGGTCATCTGTGACAACAGCCATAATTATTATGAATTTTTAAAGTTATTGGACGTTTTTTTAACACCATATTGGAACAATTGGGGATTTTTGCCATTTGGAACAAAAGATAATCAGCTCTGTCTAAAGGAGGAAAATACAATGCTGTTATATGTTAGGAAAACACTTATTTGCTTGTTTATCAAGCAAATAGTTTATACATTTATGCCCAGTGTTAGTGTAAACACCCTTTCAGAACTATTTTTCTTACATATTAGACTGGCTTTTCCATTTGTTTAACACATGCCAGAAATTTCATTTGGCATGGGGGGTGCCAGATGAGTCGCATGCTTTACAATGACACACTTAGGATGACATAATTTTACCGTTATGAATGAAGTTGTAATTTCATACGCTGTTGTACAAGTAAAATGACATAAATTTCAATGGAAAATTATTTTATTAAAGTAAAGAATTTAAAATGTAATGGAATATGGTAGAATATGCAAGAAAAAATACCTGACACGTGTTTGCGGTTTAAATTGGGATATTTGTCCCTCTGGAACCCGCCAATGGCGGTTCCCCTTGTGACGGAAATTCCATCCGAACCGCAAACATACGACAGATATATTTAGGCTGTCATATGTTGAAACAATTGATTCTTTCTATTTGATAACATTAACAATAGGACAGTCAAACATGTTGCTGAGATATACTTATTTTGATGTGTTTCAATAAAATTCCAGAGATTATAAAATGTGTTTTTTAAAATTTCTGTTAGTTCTGATCTTTATCAAAATTTTAGAGCGTGTAGTATGCATGGATCTGATGGTATGTGTAAGACACGAGAGCCCCAGACCGGCAGATCATATGTGTGTGTCAACACGGGCAGACTCAAACCTGCTGGACAGTTTACAGAATTACCTTGAACAGCCACTGACAGCCAGATATAAACTGTTAGATCATGGATTGTGTTGGACCGGCACAAAAGCTCAGGAACTAAAGGTACATTGTACATGTACACTTCAATTTTATTACATATGGAGTTTTGAACAATTTTCAAGATTTCTTTTTTAGTGCCTATAGATATAATATTTACATAGAAACTTGTGATTGTTTTGTAACTTTTCTATTTTTTGTAAATCAAAAATGATGCAGTTTTCCGTTCAATACAAAATCTGATGTATTACACCTTACCCTGTTGCACCAAAAATCAATCAGCCTTTGCTACCAGTATAGAGCCAGGCCAGCCTGAACATCTGTGTAACCTGACCAAGCTTTATGCTGTTGGTAGCTTCATTTTGTTACTTTGATATTCCTATCCTCTAAAATCCTCATCAATTGTCCCAGATTCAAACATTTAATTCTAGTGTTATTTATGTGTAACGATTAATGTTGACAAAAAGTAGGCAATTACAAACCTTAAATGTTGATTGAAAACAAGTCAATTATATAGCTATACTTTTTGTATTTCTTTGCTTGAACAATAAAATGATCATCTCCCACAAATATATATACTTATCAAGGGTAAATCATGAATGGGAAAAGATCAGCTTGAATTGGTGTAAGTAGAAAAGAATAGGTAATGTATTCTGCAATGTGTTTCATTTATCATTTACCTCAATAACTAATGGAGATGAATATCAATGGCCTATTAGTCTGACATGGCTAGATAGCAGTAAATTGGTCTTCATTTTTAGTCTGACTATTTGGTAAAGAAAATTCTTACTATAGTCAGGTGATAGTGATCATAATTTGTCCGGTGTCTTTATATTTTTATTTTAAACGACATCTATTCATAAACCGCAAAGCCAATTTCATCCAAACTTCACATGAATGTTCCCTTGGTGGTCACCTTTATAAATTGTTCAAAGGATTTAAGTCCCTGCAGAACTCTGGTTAGAAAGCTTCTTTAAAATACCCAAAGAGCTAGAGCTTAGATATTTAGCATGGAAAATCTTCTAGTGGATGTCTTCCAAGTTTGTTCAAAGAAGCCCTGGGGTCAAAATTGGCCCGTCCCTTGGTACAGTCAGCATCAAACTTGCGTCCACCTTTATTAAGCGACTTTTTTATTAAGCGGCCGCTTAAAATCCCTCCCGATGATTTTTACTATATAAGTTAATTTCATTAAACGAACAACATTTTTATATCGCGGCCAGCGTCCACTAAATGTCGACAAAAATATATGAAATTAGGTGTTAAAGTATCTATTAAACGACCGTCACAAATAATTGTCGTTTAAAAACAAATTGAATAAGAATTTCAATCGTTTCAAAATCGGAAACGAAAGAAACAGTTTTCCGATCATAATATTTACTGTGGCATATTTTGTCAGAGCGAAAAAAAATGACAGACAGCTAAAAAGACCAGAGAAATGGAATGAGAAAATCGTGCTTGGAATTGAGTCTGAGTAGATAGTAAATATCATTGTTTGTAGTCGGAAAAAATCGCAAAACATAGTGGACTAAATATTACAGAAACATACTCCAGTTAAACCTGATGGTGTACGTGCTAATCTGATGCTTTATAAAATACATGTAGTACACCCATTAAATATGACCCTTTGACAAAAAAAATCCTAGATCTCTAAAAAAACTTATTGAACTTGAAATCGGGTAGTGTAAAAATTAATGCTGAAAAAAATCAAGAAGTTTAAAAATAATTGCAAGAAAAATTATCTGGAGCTCTGGCTGATGATTTGAAAGTATGCTCAGCACGAGATGTGCATGGAGATATTAACAATATAAGACAATATACTTTGATTCATGGTCAAAATGACTTGCTTGATAGAATTATGAGTGTAGATTACATTTGTACACACATTTCTACTAAAATACAAAAGCAAACACACATGACCTTTTAAAAAAAAGGCATAACTGTAATACATACATAATATTGTACAGTTTTTGTTATTATAAAAAGATGCTATTGTACCTATGACTTATAGAATAAAAGCGAAACCCTTGAGCCTCGAATTTTCCAAAATTCTATTGAGAGACCACTTTATTAAGAGACCATTTTTTAGCAGTCCCTTGAGAGGTTTATTAATACAATGTCAACTGTATATTGAAAAATTCAAATATACCTTGACTTTGACCTTGACTGTCGACTGTCTTTGAAATTTGCTTAAATTGTCATAACTTTGTTATTTATGTACAGATTTATTTTTTACCTACCTGAAAAAAAAAGAACACAACATGCTCATGGTGAGCTATTGCAATCCTCCTCCATCCAAAATACAGTGAAATTAGGGACATAATTAAATAGTTTGAATAATATATTTGCAGGGTCGTCAGCTGATGTTGTTAAGAAGAAGTGACGAAGTGCTCATGGAACAGGATCCCACTATTGATTCAAGTGGACTTGGCATGACAGGAATGGATCAGTCTGAATCTGTAGTGATAAATAACAGCTCTGTTTCTTCATATCTGAGAACCAGTCAAAATTCTTCCTCAAGTACAAGAATTATGACTGGTATCAATTCTCAAGATTTAAGAAGTTTTAGAGAGAGCGGTCCAAATGTAACCATTGCAGGCCATCTTTCACATAACTATAAACAAGGTGGTTTGAATAATTTTCCGGCATCATATGGAATACCACATACAAGAATTGACACAGTCTTGACTTCCTTTCATGATAGAAGTCGGTCTCAAATTAACCAAAACCAGTCTGTTCAAAGACCAACATTAAACCGGTGTGTTTTGTCATATGAAAATCAACCTCTCATTGATAGACAGAAAAATAACCTTGGAATTGTATCTGAGAGCAGAGGATGGAAAGCCAGTGAACAGAATTTGAATATTTCTGATGAAAAGATAGACAATGCAGCAAATGAAAATGCCATTTTAGTGTCTGATCATGATTACAAGAACATAAAAGAAGATAATGCTAAAGATGGAATGGACACCACTGAAAATGGTAATCCAAATTCTATTGAAGATAATGAGTTTGGTTCATCACTAGATCCTGCCTCCATTCAGATAGATACTGATAATACTGGTGAAGATATAAATATTCATCCAGACTGTACTGAATATAAAGATCCTGAAGTATATTGTGATTTCAATGAACATAATCAGGCTAATGCAGGAAATAGTAGGCTTCTGAATAAAAATTTAAACATTGAAAGAAGTGCAAGGGGAGGAAGAATGTTTGAGGTATCCAATGATGTTATTGAGTATAGAGACTTCAGTGGCAATATTGAAACAGTTAACATTGATGTAAAGATAGATAAATATCTTGACAGCATGAAAGATAACGACAAAATGAGAAATGTGGAAGGAATGTGGGGACAAAATGATTCTAGTGAATGTAGACATACCAGCAACAGTGAGGTGGTGTGTTATGATGACAACCAGAATTGTATTTGGGTAAATTCTGAGGTTGATAGGAATGCAAGGAGTGACTTAAGAAACATTCCTGACAAGAATGATCAAAAGCATAATAAATTAAAACAAGACTTAATGGAATCTGGTGATGCTATGGAACATAGGAATGCTTCAGAAAGTATTGTACTTAATCGTGAATATAGGGATTTTAGTGAATATAAGGATCCTGGTGAATATAGGGATTCTGGTGAATATAAAAATCCGGTTGAATACAGGGATTCTGGTCAATATAGAAATCCTGACGAATACAGGAATCCGGGTGAATACAGAGATCCATGTGAATATAGGGACCCGAGTGAAATTGGAGGTTCATCAGATGGTGAAATCAGATTTATCAGTGAGGGCTTTGACACATCTTATGCGCTTAATACAGCAACCGAATTAAAGCAGATGGACACCCAAGTGATCAATGACAAACAGCATGATGAAAGAAATGATGCTTTTGATAAAAGAGATTACCAATATGCTGTTGATAAAAGTTTTGAAAGTGATGACTCTATAACAGTTGCTAAACAAAGAAATTGCTCACAAGAGTTGCAGGGAATTGTTCATCCTAATATTGATCCTGGACTTGAACTCAGTATTACAATTAAATCAAGTAACCCATCAGAATTGAATTCTGATTTCGAAACTTATAATACTCATCCTGAATCTCAGAGAAATCTTGATGATATTGAAGCTTATATGCACACAGATGCTGCAACTAATGTAGGAACAACTTTTCCAGATATTGCAGATAGTCGATTAGCTATAGGAACAGAGGAAGCAAGAGTTTACATAGATTTCAATAAATATGACCAAGGTAGTAGAAATGATTACCTTGACAAGGCTGCTGAAAATTTTGAAGAATCAAATCATGAACCTGAATTTCTGAATGGAGAGAAAGCTGTTGAAGTAAATACAGCACGAATTTTGCACAAACCTAAACGATTTGTAAGTGAAATTCCCGGACATTTGACAAGTAAATCTAGTGACAAAAAAACTTACGAGAGCCTACAGAGGGGTATGTCATGTCCTACAGAGATATTGTATGATAAATCAATGGTATTCCAAGAGGAGCATGAAATAGTTACAATAGCTGATGTTTTTAGCCCAGTATCAGAAGAATCTAAGGTCAATGACTTTGAGATCATGAACTCTACAGAAATGAAATCATCACTGGACTTGGAGGCTACAGACAGGTCAGCATCACCTTTTAAACGCCATTCTCTTCCCATGGTTAGACCATGTCAGAATGTAAAGAGGACAAAGTTTCTGCGCCATACCTTCCAATATGGTGATAAAGTTGTAAGGTTTAATGAAAGTTCTACAGAAGATTGTTCTGGAGCACATCAAGAGTCTCCTGTATTGCCACCAAGAGGTAATTTACCTCCCTTGCCATGTGATGATTTAGCACGACGCAGAAGTAAGGATTCTAACTTCTCATTGAAGTCTAATGTGGCAGGTGCAAGCATTAGTGAGGCCCCGTGTAAGATTGTTGTTGGAGCAAAGTCATCCCGGCCATTATTAGATAGTTTATTAGCGAATGATAAACTCTTCATTCATTACAACTCTACATTGTCAGGTTTTCCTGGTTGGTCTGCCCGAGAAACAGAAAACACTGTAAGCTTTTAGTTCTATTTCTTTTATAAATTTACAATCATATTTCTTTAATGAAATTTATATACTGTTGTGAGTTATTGTTTATATACTGTACCAAAAATTATTTAAATTGTTATTTGAGTACATTAGCTTTTAGTGCATTGGCAGTACTGTTTTCAGTGACAGTTAAATCTACTTCATGCATCTTAATAGTTCATCATAAACTTATGAAAATGGTTCATATTTAATCCTATTTTATGTCTTAAAGGAAAAGTGAAAGGAAAATGTTCCATTCATTACTAAAATTTATCAAGAATATGTGTATGTTTTACAGGTTGAGAGGACAATGTCAGACGCTTTGACTAGTGATGGTTATTACATTTTGTGGTATATTCGTAGCAGGAAAAATCTTGTCATTAGTGTCAGGTAAACTTTTTTCAGAGTTTGATGTGTAAGATTGATGAAACTGGAAAAATCATAGGGTATTTGCCAACCATTAATGATTATAGTGTGGGAAACCAGTGTAATATTTGGCTTTGTGGGTCAAAAGTCAAGGTTAAAGTTATCTAGCTTGTGATTAAATGTTGCTTTACTGGACAGAAACCATCGTCCACATTTTGAACATTTTTCTATAGAGATTTAACAATTTTTAAGCTAGATATTTTATATATCGGTGTTTTTATTTTTGACATGATCTACAATATTCCAGCAGCATATGCTGAATTTTTGACTATTCTATTATTTACTCTGCAAATGATTATAGCTAAGGAAAGGGGTCAGGTATTGCTCTCTTGACATCAGAATTTTTAATGTCCATGATTTTTGATAATAGACATAAAAATAATCAACTGCAATTTAATTAGGTTAAGTGGTGATTTTTGCACATGCACCATCCACTTTGCAAGAAATTTACAATCATAACAGTTTCAATAAAAGTAATTTGATAATAGAGACTTGGTTATAATCTAGATAGTTAACAAATATATAATAAAGTTGACTGATTTTAGACAGCATATAATAAAATAAAAATTTCATAAAAATTATTAGCATTTCTTTAAAAAAAAAAAAAAGTAACAAAATGAATAAAGTCAGAAGTTCTTATCCAGAGTAGACAAATAAGTTTAAAAAGAAATTCTTTACTTGATCAGTGCCTGAAATATATATTCATAGAATATATTTCAAAAATCCCTTTTTTCTTTCTATAAGTAAAAAACAAGTGTTCTGCCACTGCTTTTCAGCTACACAGACTGCTTGACAATTGTTTAGATTTAACCTGTTCACCCCCACACCAAATTTGTGGGGATTTTTTTTTATTTTAAAAAAGAGCAGTGGAAGACCCCCCCATTTGAAGCTCCTGCTACTTTTGTTTGAAGGAACCCCCCATATGGTACATTATTTTAGGTGATAGTTTTTGAATATATAATGAATTATAACTCAAACTATACTTTTTTATATTATTTAGTTTCAGGGGATCACTGGTACATTACAGAGTTCATACTAAAGTTCTAACTAATAAACTACATTATTACATCACACAAGGCAGGTACTTTGATGACATTATGCAAATATTACATCACTATTTGAGATATGGTGTGAGGGCACCTACAGATATGATTGAAAACATATCAAGGGCACATGAATATAGGATTCCACTACGTTGTCCAGTACAGGTTCAGTATGAACCGCGACCTGTGATCAGTGTATAAACATTACCCCATACACTGCTGAATTTATGTTTACATTTGTTAAATTATGAATTTTGAACAGTTTCAGTTACACCTTACCTCAACAAAACAAAAATAATACAAAATTTAAGAAGCCAACTGTTAAAAGTTATATCAGTAAAGTAAGCTTGTGGCCTTGGTCTGTGATTTTAGGCAACAGCAATTACATAAATGCTACATTAATAGATGCTTTATTTTGCTACCTATGAAATGATAAATTATTATTAATAAAGCAGCAGATACTATATTCATAGAGCAGAGTGGATAAGTTTTTGGTAATGATTTTTGTTATTGAAATTGTTTATTTTTTCTTACATTGAATTGCTAACCAATAAGTTTGTACTTACATGTTTACACCATTTGATAACACTATATATTTTAGCAAACCATCACTGTGTTTAATACACAATTTTGTGACATTTAGTGTGAAACAATTTGATTGTTTATGACATGTTTTATATAAGTTGAAATATATGTATTAAGTTTTTTTAAAGTTAATATATGTGTGTGAAGACACAGAAAATATATCAACATAGGCAGTAATTATGTGCGCTGCTTGTTAGATTTATGAAATAACTTCAATGTTAATTAATGTTGTAGCCTAATATTAGCTAGCCCTCTAAATTTAATATATTTTGACTGATTTTATGATTACTTACAGTATATGTTATAAATTGTACATGATTACAGCTTAAATTGGTTTGCTAGTTATATTTTATAACTCTCCAGCCGGCGTTGTATGTTATATATGATTTTTTTTGTTAAAACTTTTTTAACAATAAAATCTTTGTTACACCATTTTGTTATTACTTTATAATTTGTTAATGATATTGTTACTTTTTCCACTATTTCTATACATGTATTTAAATATATATTATAATTATATGAAACAATATTTTTTTATACTAAAAATTTACACAATGATACATATCATTTATACTCGGAATGATACTCAATATATTTTATATGTGAATTTGTTGAAATTTACCAACAATTATAAGAAGTTTATGTAATATTAATAACTGCAATTTTACTTCCTAGAAAATGTCAGTATAAAGATATTTGTCATACTCACTCAAACATGTCTTCATCAAAATCATTTTCAATAAAAATTTTATTTTTTCCACAGATAAGATTTTCCAAATTAAACTATAAATCCCATTTCAAAAATATATGCATAAATGATTTTTGCTGACAATATCTGTTTTATTATGCCCCTGCCATATAATGGCTTGGGCATATAGTGTTACCCTGTTCTGTCATTCAGTCCTTCCGTCATTCTGTCATTCCGTCATCATCAGTTTCTGTTCATTATCTTAGTAACGGTTGCACACATTCAACTCAAATTTGACATACGGTATGTCATGAGAAAATACAGGACAAGTTCGAATTTGGTCATGGTTTGATGACTTTTGGCAGAGTAATGCCCCTTTTACTTTGAAAATAATATGAAATTTTCAGTTTCCGTTCATTATCTCCTCAACTGTATTACACATTCAACTCAAACTTGACATATGGATATGTCATGAGAAAATACAGGTCACTTGACATATGGATATGTCATGAGAAAATTCAGGTCAAGTTCGAATTTGTCTTGGTTTGATGATTTTTGGCAGAGTTATGCCCCTTTTATTTTGAAAATAATATGAAATTTTCAGTTTCCGTTCATTATATCCCCAACGGTATTACACATTCAACTCAAATTTGACATATGCATACGTCGAAGGAATGCGCAAGCCAAGTTCGAATTTGGTCTTGGTTCAATTATTTTTTGCAGAGTAATGCCCCTTTCACTTTGGAAATAATATGAAATTTTCTGGTTATTTTCTCCCCAACTGTGTTACATATTTAACTCAAATTTGACATATGGATATGTCAAAAGAATGTGCAGGTCAGGTTCGAATTTGGTCATGGTTCGATGATTTTTGAGTTATGTCCCTTTCACTTTGAAAATAATATGAAATTTTCAGTTTCTGTTCATCATCTCCTCTAGGGTATTACACATTCATCTCAAATTTGACATATGGATACGTCAAAGAATTGTGCAGGTCAAGTTTGAATTTTGTCATAGTTCCATGATATTTGGCAGAGTTATGCCCCTTTAACTTTGAAAAAAAAAGGAAATTTTCAGTTCCCATTCATTATCCCCCCAACAGTTGTACATATTCAACTCAATTTAAAGTTATGGATATGTCATAAGAATGCATTGGTCAATTTCGAATTTGGTTATAATTTGATGATAGCTAACAGAGTTATCCCTCTTGAACTCTGAAAAAACCCAAGAAATTTTAAGTTTCCGTTCATTATCTCCCCAATGGTTGTACACATTCAACTCAAATTTGACATATAGATACATCTTAGGAATGAGCAGTTCAAGTTTGAATTTGGTCGTGGTTCAATGATTTTGGACAAAGTTATCTTTCTAAAATGATGGGAAAATTTTGAATTTTCAGTTTGTGGAAATGCATGTAGCCATTATTTTGGCTACAAATATGCATTATGCAATTTACAAATGGTTAACACTGAATAGTTTCAGTGCCTTGAACTTTGTATAAAAATGGTGTGTTAACATTGAATAGTTTGACGGTAGTACACCCCTAATGCACTATCTCCACTTTGAAGAGTATATAAGTGTATTGAAACTGAGGGGCGTGGGTTCAAACTTTTTTTTTCTTTCTTTTCTTTCTTTTTAACATTTTTTATTAATCTCTTAGATCCCTAATGGAAGAAAAAAGTGTTTCATTTTAATTATATAATTATTGTAGGTATTTATTTACTAAATAATGCCGAATTTATAGCAAATATGATACCAGATATTTTCAAAGTTTAATAAAATAAAAACTACACGGTTAAAGTATTTTATATTTTGCAAACCAACCAATATACATTTCAGAAAATTTAAGCAGACTTTGAAAACAGCCCCTCATTGTGGAAAATTTAAGTGATATTTTAAATAAGGCTTTTTACATAGGGAAATGGTGAAATAAGTGTTAAAAGTGGGTGGGGTAGGGTTGCATTTTTATACATATTAAAAACATTTCGTTTAAAAACAATCATTTTGCTTGTTTAATTTGTAACCTTAATGTCATTATTTGTTTCTTAACAATGAGCAATAGGAAAACATTTTTCATAATGATGATATTATAGATTATTTAGAGTTTCCTCATTTTTGAAAAAAAGCCCTTCTAATGGCAAAGTTTTAGTTCAGAAAATGTCCATAGCTCATAAACCACACGGTAAGTTTTGTTTAAATTTTGCATACAGCTGACATTTAAGACATATAACTGTCCTATGCTGTAAATTTGACAGTTCCTTATAGTGCCCATTAGGGGTGTTCTTCCTTGAGGGCTTTGAACTTAAAATGAAAAAAATAATTTGTGCAAACAAACTTGGAAATAAATATTATAACATCTGAAATTTTGGCTGCATGCGGGGTATCCATGGTGTGACAACACATTTCTATTTAAGTTGTTTTTTTTATTTCACAAAAAAATCCTATGATTTGTTACAATCAGAATCTCATTTTATGATTATTATTAACTTAAAGGGACAGTACTTAAGTTTGATTTTACATGATCAGACTGGAAATATGCTTTGTTATTATTGTATCATTTTATGTTGGTCTGGATAAATAGCTTGTGTATCATTCAATTTATCAGCTTTCCAGAACAATTATTTTAATAGTGAAAAAAAGAATTCCAAAGAATGTAAAGCATTCAAAGGATTTTGATTCTAATCTAAGTAAGAATCAGAGTTTGATTTACAGTTTAATTCTGAGTTTACTTTTTTTTAAATATTTTTCACATATCTTTCTGCTTTAAGTGTCATCTATGTAACAAAATTCATATTTTATGTTTAAGTTTTTGGAACACAATGAAGTTCTTTTAATCTCATTTTGGGTTTTTACTAACCAACATGTAATCAAAGCTCATCTTTATGTCTCTAGTTATTTTATGTATGTCGAATCTCATTTTAGATTTTTGATTTTATAAACCCATTTTTTTACTAGAAACACATGTTGTTGTTTTTTTACTTATGACACAATTTAATGACATCATCTTCTTGTTTTCATGTTGTTATTTTCTTGTTTTAATTTTTATGCCCACCTTCAAAGAAGAGGGGTAGTATTGTTTCACTAATGTTGGTTGGTCTGTCTGTCTGTCTGTCTGTCTGTCTGTCGGTCAGTCTGTCTGTCTGTAGACCACATGGTTTCCGCTGATTATCTTGAAAACTATATATCACAAAGTCTTCATATTTTACAAACTGATTGGTCATAACTAGTAGATGACCCCTATTGATTTTGGGGTCACTAGGTCAAAGGTCAAGGTCACGGTGGCCTTAAATGTCAGAATGGTTTCTGCTGATTATCGTGAAAACTGTGTATGACAAAGTCTTCATACTTAACATACTGATTGGTCATTTTTGGTAGTTTACCCCTATTGATTTTGGGGTCCCTAGGTCAAAGGTCACAGAGGTGCCTTAAATGTCTGAATGGTTTCTGCTGATTATCTTCAAAACTATTCATCACTAAGTCTTCATATTTTACATACTGATTGGTGATAACTAGTAGATGACCCCTATCGATTGTGGGATCACTAGGTCAAAGGATTTTGGGTCACTAGGTCAAAGGTCATGGTCTCAGGGCCTTAAATGTCAGAATGGTTTCTGCTGGTTATCTTGAAAACTATGTATCTTAAATTCTTCATATTTTACATACTGATTGGTCATAACTAGTAGATGTCCCTCAATGATTTTGGTGTCACTTGGTCAAAAGTCAAGGTCCCAATTGCCTTAAATGTCGAAATGTTTTTTTGCTGATTATCTTGAAAAGTATCACAAAGTTTCTATATTTCACATACTAATTGGTCATACATAACTAGTAGATGACCCCTTTTTGGGGGGTATCATTAGGTCAAAGGTCAATGTCACAGGGCCTTAAATGTCAGAATTGTTGCCGCTCATTATCTTAAAAACTATTTATCACAAAGTATTTATTAGCTCACCTGTCACAAAGTGACAGGTGAGCTTTTGTGATCGCTTTTCGTCCGGCGTCCATCCGTCCGTCGTCCGTCCGTAAACTTTTGCTTTAAATGACATCTCCTCATAAACCACTGAGCCAATTTCATCCAAACTTCACAGGAATGTTCCTTTGGTGGTCACCTTTAAAAATTGTTCAAAGAATTTAATTCGAAAGAACCGAAAGAAAAATCTTTAAATATCTTCTTTTAAAAATCCATAACAGCTAGAGCTTAGATATTTGGCATGAAACATCTTCTAAAGAGTGTCTACCAAGTTTGTTCAAATAAAAGCCCTGGGGTCAAAATTGGCCCCGCCCAGGGGGGTCATTGATTTTCCCTATATGCATATAGTAAAAACTTAAAAAATCTTCTTTTAAAGAACCCAAAGAGCTAGAGCTAAGATATTTGGCATGAAACATCTTCTAGTGAGTGTCTACCAAGTTTGTTCAAATAAAAGCCCTAGGGTCAAAATTGGCCCCGCCCGGGGGTCATTGGATTTTCCCTATATGCATATAGTAAAAACTTAAAAAATCTTCTTTTAAAGAACTCAAAGAGCTAGAGCTTAGATATTTAGCATGAAACATCTTCTAGTGAATGTCTACCAAGTTTGTTCAAATAAAAGCCCTGGGGTCAAAATTGGCCCCGCCCAGGGGGTCATTGATTTTCCTATATGCATATAGTAAAAAACTTAAAAAATATCTTCTTTTAAAGAACCCAAAGAGCTAGAGCTAAGATATTAAGCATGAAACATCTTCTAGTGAGTGTCCACAAAGTTTTTTCAAATAAAAGCCCTGGGGTCAAAATTGGCCCCACCCAGGGGGTCATTGATTTCCCTATATGCATAAAGTAAAAACTAAAAAATCTTCTTATAAAATACCCAAAGAGCTAGAGCTGAGATATTTATCATGAAACATGTTCTAGTGGTTGCCTACCAAGTTTGTTTAAATAAAAGCCCTGGGGTCAAAATTGACCCCGCCCCAGGGGGTCATAGATTTTCCCTATATGCATATAGTAAAAACTTAAAAAATCTTCTTTTAAAGAACTCAAAGAGCTAGAGCTAAGATATTAAGCTTGAAACATCTTTAAGTAAATATCTACAAAGTTTGTTCAAATAAAAGCCCGGGGGTCAAAACTGGCCCTGCCCCAAGGTGTCATTGTTTTTAACTATATGTGTATAGTAAAAACTTTAAAAATCTTCTTTTAAAAAACCCAATGAGCTAGAACTTAGATGTTTAGCATGAAACATCTTCTTATGGGTGTCTACCAAGTCTGTTCAAATAAACAAATAAAAGCCCTTGGGTAAAAATTGGCCGGGGGTGGGGGGGGGGGGCTATATACAGGTGAGCGACCTCAGGGCCATCATGGCCCTCTTGTATTTCATATACTAATTGATCATAACTAGTAGATGACCCCTGTAGTTTTTGGGGTCACTAGGTCAAAGGTCAGGGTCTTAAATGTCAGAAAGGTTTCGGCTCATTATCTTAAAAACTATCACAAACTATATTTCACATATTGATTGGCCATAACTAGTAGATGACCCCTATTGACTTTGGGGTCAAAGATCAAGGTCAAAGGGGCCTAAAATGTCAGAACGGTTACATATATATGATAAAATATATTTTATTCCAGCTACCCACGAACTTGTATAAGTTATTTATGATAGCTTTCATTCAGTTTCAGGTCAAATATTGGTCATATTTTTCTTTTCTATAACTGAACAATTCCATGTACCCATATATAGCATGTTTCTATAACAAAATTACCAGTAGTATGAGTCAAGGGCTAGAAAGGGGGGCATATGTGTTGTTCGACATTCAAGTCAGAATCCATGCCTGTGTAGATCTAGAGTTTTAGATTCATTTAAAGATTCTCCTGTATTGTGTGTTATTTTGCTGTGACAGAAATTGTATTTTTAACTAGGTTTTCCTGGGGAAAAAATGCTTATTTAATTGTCTATGAGTAAAATAATGTCAATTGTTAGGTTTACATTTTGTCATGTTTGTTTTCAATTTTCATTGCTTGGATGTTAAATAACCCCCATGGCTTACATATATTAAAATATCCTTCCAAATTTATTTGTATCATTCAGTTTATAACATGAGTAGGGCAGTCTTTTGAATTTTAGACAATTTTATATTTTATTGTGAATGTATTTTTATTAATTATTGGTCAAGGACCATTATAATAGTCAATCTTTGATATATATAAGTAGTTATGCAGAACTTGATAGTGAGAAAATGAGCACAATGTCACTTTGAGCTGACATATATGTGTAGTTGTTTTTCAGTCAGTACTTATTTTGAAATTTTCTCTCATCTTGTACAATGGTATTATCCACAAGTCCGTTTGGCATGGTTAGGGTTAAGAAAATTATACATTGTAAATGCAATATGAATAAAAAAATTGTTTCATGTTTTGAATCTTAAACGCATACAGTCATGTGTGACATGTTCAACATAGTGTTATAATATGTACAAACTTCAGTTTACATTTTCTATTTACATGTTTTATTAACAGATGTTTCCTGTACCAACCTGGTCTATCTGTTAATTTTCACTTTTGTTTAGCCTCGAGTGCCCATGTCCCGGTGATATAAGAACAGGAGTGAGAATAAATCCAATTTAAAGAATGAAAAAACCAGTTTCAGCATTTGCCAAAATAAAACAATTAACTTACCTTCAAAATGCCTTGGTTTTTATAAAAATAGCATAAGTAGTTCATGATTTATTTTCAAAACTTTGACCACCTTCCAAAAATTCTTCTGTAAAAACATGGTGCCCTGATTCCGGTGACGTCATACACATGCTAATCAAGGGGGGTAACTTCGAATAAAACAACAATTAGGCCACTTACATTTTTATGTTGGGTTCTACAGGTACATATGTTTTATATATAGTAATTCTAATTCAAAACATAAATTTTTCACAATTTTAATCAGTTATCATTGTATGGCACATATTCTCAAGGAAGTAAATTGCCAATTTAGTTTATTTACATCTTGTAATCAAGTCACAAATATGCAAGGATGCAAATTCACTCTTCCTCCTTGCAATTTTGGCAAACAAAGTGATCTCCACGCCTTAAGACTCTTTCAGAAGTACAATAAATCAAATGCACCCAGTGGCCACAAGAATCACACTTTACAAAATTGCAGTTCAACAGTTCAACTGGGGTAAATTACCACTTACAATGTATTTACTTTTTAACATAAGAGAACAGTAGAGTTCATTCCGTAACAATTTAGTAAGAGGCCATTGGCCCTCTATTAAACAATAGAAAATAACAAAAGAAATGGCCCCTTATTCCATTTCCGCCGGACGTCCGTGCCGGACATACATTGAGGATTTTGAAATAACTTGGCACAAATGTCAACCACATCAAGACGAGGTGTCCGGTCTAAGAACCACGTCCCTACCTCAAAGGTCAAGGTCACACTATCATTTTGAAGTTTCACATTATCAGCAATTATAATTAATATGTATACACAATTGTGTCCAGGCTGTAACTTTGTCATGCATTGAAGGATTTTAGAATAACTTGACATAAATGTCTACCACATAGAGACGATGTGTCAGTCCAATAATCACGTCCCTACCTCAAAGGTCAAGGTCACACTAACATTTTGATGTTTCACTTTATCACAATTAGAGTTTATAGGTACACACATTCGTGTCTGGACTGTAACTTTGTCATGCATCGAAGGATTTTAAAATAACTAGGCATAAATAAGACGACATGTCGCGACTAAGACCCATGTCCCTACCTTCAAGGTCACACTTATACGAGGCAAAATGTCTACCACATCAAGACAATGTGTCGTGGCTGAGGCTCATGTCCGTCTGTCTGCCCGTGTGTCTCCACTTACACAACAAACCTGTCCAGACTGTAACTTTGTCATGCATTGATGGCTTTTGAAATAACTTGGCACAATTGTCTATCTCTTAACAACATTCTATCGCGTCCAGGAACCACGTCCCTTCTTCAAAGGTCAAGGTCACACTTAAATTTTGAAGGTTGACACTATCACAATTAGAGATCACAGGTAGAATAATACAAAGAACAATAATAAGCAACTCTTTTCTTTTCATAATACCTGCATGCTTAAGAAACCTTTTTGGGGGCATTCATCACTTGGGTGACAGCTCTTGTTATGTCATGTAAATATCATAGGTATTAAATGTAAAGAAATTTTTTTAAGGCAAACACATACAATGCTGTAAATATTTTAAATCCTATTTTAACTATTGAATAAACAACAGAACCAGTATATTACTTAGTCAGATGTTTCTATTGTTATTAAAGATGGGTTTAATTTCCTTCTTAAACAAGGTGTTGAGGGTATTTTGTTTCATCATATATTTATAACTAAACATGAAATCAAATCAAGGAGAATTTTTTTTTTTTAAAAAGGATCTTTATGCTGATAAAACAAACATAGAAGCTTATGTTTAAGTGTGACAATTAATTACAGTAACATTTAGTATTGTGTATGACAAAAATACTGTATAAGTGGATATTTATGCGTCACAAAAATTTTGCAAATGTCACAAAGTGGATTTTTTGCATGCCAAAATATTTGCGAAAATATGATTTCTTGAATTTTATACTATTTCTGTGATATCATTAATTAAACAGGTACACCTTAAGAATATGCCATTATTGTAATCGTTCTATTCAGGTGTCTATTTCCTTAATTATTGATATAATTGTTTGAAATATACATTGTAAGTTTGATAAAGGACCCGATCACACATTTCTTTGTCATAATTTGAAACATTCTTTTGTTCTATGAAAAACGTATTGTATAATTAACACATATATTGTTTCATTAAAACATTTGTGATTTGTTAAGACCAAACTGAAACAAACAAGCAATGAGAAAAATTTATCTCAGTACCTAAATAGTCAAACTTATTCATGTAAGATGTAATATGAAAATGTGTTTTCAAATGATGGAAGAAAGTTTGCCTA